GAAATATAACCTCATTAAATTTTTGAAATCTATTTACTGGTTATTGAATTTGAGTCTAGCCAAAGTTTTAGATTATAATTTTTAGGAATACATATTTTTTCTTGAATCAAAAACTTCTCTATAAAATCTTGTTAAATTTATTTTAACGAACTTTACTTTTAATGCCAGAATAATCAAAACAAAAATCATTTCTAAATTTCTTTAATGTATTTAATAAATGAGTTTGTACAAAAATGAGAAAATTTGTAAGAATTCTTTAATGCTTTAAATTATATCTTTATATCATATAGAATAGAGTATAGTCAACTTTTATCAATTCATTAGAGCTTAAATAAGAATGTACTGATTATGCGTTTGTTATTTTTTATTACATATATGCTTATTCTAATTGTTTAATACCGATAGCTCGACCATATTTTCAAAAATTATTATTCAATAATTTGGAATTTCTTTATTATAAACCCTTTGCAAGAGATAAAATATTAAAACAAACAATAATAATGACCAATAATTTGAAAATACAATTGATTCTGATAGCTGTGCATTTTTCGTAATAAACAATAAGAAATTCAATCAAAACATTTTTAATGAAAAACGAATTAAAATGATATATTGTCACAAATTTGGAAGCGCATATTGAATTGATTAAAGGCAAACGAATGTAAAAATAATGTTTCTACATTTTTAATGCAAAGCCAATTAAAATGATATAATATCGCAAATATGCGAGCGCATTTTATGAAAACATTGAATTGATGGAATGGAAACGAATGTAGTAATAATTTTTCATAATTTTCATAAATATCATTATTATCAGAATTGACAATTTTAAAACAAAGTTTGTTAAAAACTTTCTGATTTTAAAACAAAGTTTGTTAAACAACTGTCTGAAGTCATGGACTATATATCAACTTATGTCGTATATATCAACTTTTTAGTAAGCACTTGTATTCAATTTTATAAAATAATACGGATCTTCCAAGTATATCTTCATATACTTAATATAATTTTAATTAGATGCGCTATTTACAACGACTACAACTAAACACACAACGAACAGAATGAGATCGCTATCATCTAGTAATTCTACTAATGATGATTTTGTTGTTTAGCTCTGTTTTCACATTAAAGTTTATGTTTGGTGTCCGTCTGAGATGATCTCAAAAAATTGTCGTGGTATGAATGACACAATGTGGATGATTTTGCACATTTTTATGCTAAGAGGTTGAATTAAACCGCATTCATTAAGAAATTCAATATTGGATTTTAGAGGAGTAAACTACTCTGATGTACCTACCGAATGACAGTTTAATCAATTTTGTGCGAATTTTTCGTATATGATGCATTTCTTCATATTTTGCGCATAATGGGCTTACTTATCGAGGAAACGAAAATGAAGAAGAAATTTTAAAATCATTTGATGACGACAAAGAAAACACACATGTTTTCCAATATATGGTTTATCTGACTATGAATTTCACAAATATTCCTAATAAAACAGGAATTAGAAGCCAAAATATTTGGAATTTTCTTCTTTGTTTACGGTGTTTTTAAATCATATTCGTGAAGTTAAAATTATTTTTTATAGAAGCATAAATATATTATTATTTTATTATCAGCTGATTTTGGTTTATTCTGAATTAAAGTTGAAAGCACATATATCGATGAATGTGCAATATGGGTGAACCGTCCAATCTCAGCAAAAATATTTGAACTGAACACTCCATATAAACGAAGCGTCTTAGACTCATCTTACAACACCTGCAGACACATCATTCTAATTTAAATCGCTAGCTTTGTGCAAATAAGATGTTCACAATTTATTTATACTTTAAAATTACAGATATAATAAATAAAAAAATAATGAAGATATTTTAAATCGCAATTTTTAATGTGCTTGCATGCAAGTATGCAGCATTGGTGCTTTGGATTAGCTGTGTGCATCGCACGATGGTGTTTCGATAACAACTTTTTGACCGTCTAATTACTAATTAATTAATACATGAATCAGTGAAATTTACATAAATTTATTCATTCACTAGTACATACAGAACCATTAAGCACATGCACATACACAAATGCAATATATTATACATATGTACAAATTTATTCAGTAATGGAATGAATGATTTACAGTGTATCGCCTACTTGCAAACACCGACGGAAATGTTGAAGATGAAACAACATGCTTAACAAACTATAATCAACGCAGAAGTTTATCAAATATTTTTATTTACAAACTTTCTTCATTATTTTTCTTCAAAACTTATTTAAAAATTAAAAATACATATTAATTCATTATTCAAAATATTCTTATCTGTTTAAATTTCTGTATATTTTTCAGGGAGCCAATAATAAACCTAAATCAAATTTGTTTCTCTATGTAAAAAAGGCTTGAAAATTACTTAAAATACGTCGTGTATATTGTTACAATTTTCTCTATGTTGAAACACTCAAGGAAATCATAACGTCAAATTTTATGAATTGTCACTTATGCATCACTAAATTTAAATAAATATTGAAAATAGATCTGCACATTTAAGTTGGGTGTACAATGAAAATATTGATTAACCCTTTCGCTACGAATGCCGTCCATGGACGACATCAACATGACATTTGTTTGCCTTTGCTTCAAGATTTATCACAATGAGTTAAGGTATTGAGACTTCTAGTCTTTTATTGCAATTTATAGTTCATAAGAAGCGAGCTTATTAATTTTTAGCATATTTTTATTAATAATCTTAGAAATATCTTATCACCGATGTGCCTGTCCGTTCAGTAGTGCAGCAGCGATACTCCTGCGATAAATACTCTCCTAGCGAAATGGTTAAGCAAGTATCTTGTTTATATGAATTTTCCTATTATACATAAGTCGAAAAAATAAAATACTAATAACAACCAGTATTGCACGAATACATTACCCTATCTAATTTTATGAATTTTGTTATTTTAGTTCGACGATCACGCAATGAGATTGCCTTGCGAGACTATATACGCGTGCACAACGCAATCTCGCGCTTCTGTCGACGAGCAATAAAGCTGACGAGTGAAATAATTAAAGATTTCATAGAATTCATCAATTTCGCGGCTTATTAAAGAAAAAAATGCCTCAGGGGTCATCTCATTGCTGATATTATGTCGTATTTCTTTACCGCGAATTTTGTGCATAATGAGATGTATGATTTAATTCTTTTTAGTAATTGACTATTATACTGCCATAAATCATATGAAATCAACCTGAACATTTTGAATTATGATTTAAATTACTGCTTGATATTAAAAATATTTAAAATAATTTTTTTACGATAATATCAGAAAAAATTCACGTGGTTTATGGTAACTTTATTAGATAATTCAGTTAAAAATATATCGATGAAATTTATTTTTTTTGGCAAAGTTCTTGGAAAAACACTATTTTTATGTCACAGTTATATGACTGATGTGGCCCTATATTGAAACTTCTTCGTGGCGTTTTACCAAATCGCGTATGTTCGACATAGATGTCTGACATATCTCATGTAGAACTTCCAAGTATCAAACACATATGATTGACATGGTAATATAAATATAAAATTAATATAATTATAATGTAAATTATAGAAGTTTAATTTTTAATATCAATATTGAAGCATAAATTAAAATAATTGTTTTATGTTGAATTAAATTAAAACACATAGGTCAGCAAGTTCAGAATTACCAAGATCGCATTCGATTCGCACAAAATGTTCTTAAATATTAAATTAGTACATTGTGAATGTGATTAATAAATTTGTTGAGTGAAAAAATAAAAAGGACAGTAAATATAAAAAATATCAATAATCACTGTTTATATTATTCGGTTCAATCGCATTCGATTTTTTTTTACTTTTTTCCCTCCAATGAACAGTAATAATTGGTGTTGTTAATTGAGAAATATGATCCGAAATTTGACGCGTCGCACTCTGAGACTACGAGCGCATCTCCGCCGCCGCGCCGTGTCGATGCATCGCGTTGCCAACAAGGGAGTCCATAATAATGATTAATTAATTCCTTTTTGAATATCGGGTCAGAGTAATTAATTAAAAAATAAATACCCCAGCAAAGGTGAGAAGGTATTAAATAGCACCGAGCGTATAAAAAAAGTGAGCCACGAACAGAGCGCCTCGTTCTCGTTGCCATCTTAATTGAATCGGATTTATTAGTGATGATTATTAATTTATTTTCTTTTCTAAAAGAATTGCGTTCCATACAATATATTGCTGCGTGAATTAATTTCATTATGCACACAACTATTTAATCTATAAATCATACATACCTTATACATTTTCAAAAGTTTTTGCTTTCGCAATTATTTGTTAATTCTACGTTATTAAAAAACTACTTGTTACAAAAGTAAATCAAAGTTTATATTATGATTATAAATATCAATATAGTATATTGAAATTTAATGACGTACAACAGTTTTATTTTCATTTCAATTATTTTAAATTTATTCTCTTTGAGACATACTTGTAAAATGTAGGGCACAAACGTGACAATAAATCTAGTTTGGTGATAGTGCACGCTTCGTATATATATATACAATATATATATATATATATATATATATATATATATATATATATATCGGCGGAAGAGCACCTATTGTGCCTTGTTAAGTTCAATCAGGCTGATCTGCGCACAGATGCCATCCAAGAGCGAACTCGAACGAACAAAAACAGATTCCAATTTTTCAACGTCAACTAGGCCTCGTACTGAACGTTGCTAAGTCAACTATTATCGTAACAGCAAACCGTAGATGACAATACTATTTTTATTAAGCATTTTAAAAAATAAGTTTACTGTATTATTATTGCTTCATGTAGATCGTCCTGATTAGTGCAATGTAAAATAAGATTATGTAGTTCGAAAATGTATTGAATATACTTTAATTTCTTTATCACATGATTTAGAGATGAGCGTCGATCGGGCGATTTATCGAAAACTATTAAGTTTCTTATTAAATAATGTCTAAAACTCACCGTCTTTGGGAGGGCTGGCGCAGGGAGGTGCATACGAGCCAAGGTGATAGCCCGTATATGTGTTCTGCATCGCCGGGAACGAGTATCCAAGCGCACTGCGCGGACTCGGAAATCCTGTAGCATCCTGGTGATGGTGTCCTTGTGACGCGGCGGACGCAAAATGCTGGTAACCGCCGCGTATCGCATTAAATCCGTGTTGTTGTAGTTCTATAAATGCTGATTTCGAATTTAAACCTGAGCCCGGTGGTCCATGACCATCCGGGTTACTCGACTGCGGCCCGTGTTGCGTGTCCATACTACTGCCGCCGCCACTCGAGCTGTTCGGTGCCGCCGCGTTGCTGTTACCGCCGCCCGCCGCGCTACCGCCGCCGGCCGCGGGTGGAGCCTCGAAAGGGCTCCCGAGCTCCGTAAAATTCAACGTGTTGACGCCGTTATATGCCACCGTGCTCGACTTCGATAAAGTCATGCACCGACACTAATTTGACTTGGGTTAATATTTGTTTCTATATCACACTATACACACTGTTTACCTATGCTGGCGAACGCGGCACAATTTATTTGACGTCACGATAACACTTTTATGTCAAAACAAACAGCAATGATTACCAATTTTTTTTAAGTTCGGCACTATAATCTGTCACTATTAGTCGATTAACATCACACACTAGACAGCGTCACGTCGAAACATCAAAACACTCGCGACGCATTAGCTCGACGAACAGAACATTGTCAAATGTTTCTTTGTATAGGCTATTTTGTGCCCGTTTGCTTGGCTTGTTCTCTTCGGGTGGTCAGATTTCCCGTCTTTCCTTCGGCTCGTGAGAACTGCTCAGCCTGACACCGCCGAACAGACTGCTCCACCTGCAATATACACTACGTGAGTCTTTTAAATCTGAATAATTAATATGTGAGAAAATATCTGTAAACCGATCGCTTTTCCATGTTGGGCGGTTGACATCGAAAACTACGCCGGCGACCGATGCACCGCACATCGAAACGCAAAGTGCTGCTTATAAATAATGCTCGCTCTCAAATCGACGGGCGTTTTGAGAGTCTAATTTCGTGTATTTAACGATTTAATTGAATTGTACTTGTGTCCTCGTGCGAACTGAAGATTTGCAACGAGTTAATACAAGCGAAAACATAGTTTAATACAACTGTCAAACTCTTCAAACAGTAGCTAACGTTTCAGACTCTGACTGCTACGTATAAATTTCTGAAACGTTTGCACGAGCTCGCTATAACTTCTTTCTGTACAAGACTTTTTCATTCGACCGTTGAAGTTTTAAACATGCAGTAACCTCAGAACTCGCGGAAAGAAAAACTCTAGACGTGTGATTTACTGGCATCGCAATCAACATAATAACGATCTTCTCCACGATGTTAAAACATTGCCCAGAATAAAAAAGCATTATTTGGCTAGTGTAATTCTGTTCATTTGTACACTGGACAATGTACATATTTCATGTCTGTATACTTTTTATTCGGAACGATGCCACACAGCGCTTAAAACATATTAGAAAACACAGAATATTTAATTTCAAGCTAAATAAATATTCTAAAGAGCTTTTATTAGTTTTTAGATTGAGCTTCTTTGTTGCGAGTTGGACGTTGTGTTGTACTACTAGCGAATCATAAATCAAGCACCGATATCTGTTAGTATATATATATATATATATATATATATATATATATATATATATTAGACAAAAACGGTTAGACAAAACGCCTCATAGAAATACAATAACACGAATGATTATTACGAAAGATTCCAAAGAAGCAGAAGTCTCCTGAATCGATTTTTAGTTTTTTATGATTAGTTTATATTAGCTTTTATGTCTCTGTGCGATAATAAATAGTCCACGTTTATATATTATTCCAACTTTATATTGAAAATTTTGTAAAATGTATCTGGACTGAATAGTTTAATACAAACATCTTCCATCGCATATTGTCACAGAATTTATGAACGCAATATAAAGAAACCACATTAGCAATAAGTTAAATAATGCATTTTTATAAACTTTTTGAGTAAATATATTAGCGTATGATATCTAGTTCAAAATAATTACATATTTATTTAACCTAATTCTTTTAATTAATTTACATTCACATTGATAAATACATCTCTGACCCTTTTTGTGAAAATGAAAATACAAAATACATGAAGATTATATTTTTATAATATGAAATAACTGCCCGACTATTTAACAAATTAATATATTGTTAACCGATTATAATAGTTGCAACTGCTTTGAAGAAAAAAATATATTTTGACGAAAATATAAATTAGTATTCTGAAGACAAGTTTTATATGGTCAAAAGTATTATTTTGGTGGAACATTATTAAATTTACAAAAGTGTATATAATAATAATAATAATAATAATATTTAATTACATTGCATTTCTGATTGCATTTGCCACCAAGCCATCATTTTGATATATGTTTATAAAATCGGCTGAACGTATTTATGTGAATTCTAAGTTAATACGAATATTAATCTATATCTTATGTATATATCTATATGTAATGTATATAATGTATACTAATGTATACATAAATATATACATGTATATTTCATCGAAACGTGGAACATTTTCAAAGTTAGACTGTTACAATTGGACTTATAGGAAAGAGTAAGATATGACATCGGCGGTTTTATTGTAAATATATTAAAATAGTTTTTAGCCTTTGCGATGTGCTCGTATCATTAACATTATCTTGTTTTAATAAATTTCTCAAGACAAAATTCGCTCATTAAATATGCGCATCGTGTACATCGAGTCGAGATGCTAGCACGTACAGAAGTGATAAATCTAGAAGTGATTTATAACTTGATTCACTGCTAACAATGAAATATAGGTACATTCCTATAACATAAGATATATCAGATTTGTTTCCATTAACAGGATGTGTGCTAATGTGCGACTTAGCAAAGTCCGATATTATAATGCTGGCTGTCGTGTCCTTGATCGTTGATGACTTTCCGACGTTAATTCATTAATTTATTCATTCCGCGGATTGCACGTACTCTCGCCTCCCGCTGCTGCTGCCCGTCTCCGCCGAATGCAGATTTATCTAATGTAAAGGTTACGGTGCGTTTGTTTAGGTTTCGGTTCATTCATTTCGTACACATGCGAATTATTTGAATGCAAATACCCTAAGCCAATTGATTCTGGGCAATTGATTTATATATAATACATTAGGGTGGTCCTTAATATGAATATTTTCGAACTTCAAGGGACTTTCATGATCTGAAAGTCTTATCTCTTAATCTTAACTTTAAGATAGTCCTCACACCAACGAAAGTTCATTATAAATATAACATGGTAAAAATTCAATTTGTTTTTTAGAATTTCATTAGTCACAAGTGAAACAAGTGAAGAAGTAACAATTCGTGTCATGTTTTATTGAAAATTCGACGATCTACAAAAAAGGTTTTTTATCATTTTTTGTTAAATCTATTGGCTTAAGAGTTCTTTGAGCTTAAAGTTCGATTATTCTATAATTATTATGTAAATACTTATTTTATAAAATATATAAAATTTTTGTTGTAAATTTTTTACTTATGATCAAAATAATCAAATACAATGTTATTCTCAAAATTTTGATGTATATGTGTGATGGAAATTTTCCCATATTATTTCCATAAGAATTTTGATTAGTGTGCGGATTATCTTAAATTCAATATTGAAAGCTCGTGTTCTTGATAAAACGCTGATCAAATTACATATATCTCATATTTCACATTGATATCTTGCAAAAAATTGGTCGTTTTCCAAGTATATTTGATTTTTATTTATTTTATACATTTATTTCATTGATAAATTAATGTTGCAATTCGATATGCTGTGACATAAATCTCGTTATATCAAATATCAAAGCCGATAAAATGAATTTTATCTAGACATGGACAGCAACAAGAAATTTTTAGACACAGAACCTGATGATGTTCCCATCACTAATAAATGTTCAATCTTATATTGAAATTATGAAATGTAAAATTTAAAGTAGGATATAAATTAGAGCATAAAATAGTAAAAACTATAATTTAAATCTGTCAAATTTTGATGAAATTAAACTCGAGTCAAATATTACATAAAATTCTTACTACATCAACTTTTTCAAAAAGTTTCTTGATAAAGCATTTTTTATTTATGTTCATCATTGATTTGTTAAATAAAGTTTTTAAAAATTCGATTGAATGTTTATAAAAATAATCAAGATTTTCAGATGTATTATGTTGAAAAATTGTAAAATGTAAAAGTAAATAAAATGAAAATAATATACCTGGACGCCCAATTAATGGATTGACATTTTTTAAGTGCGTCCAAAATTTTGTTGATGTTCAGGATGGAATAGTTGCAAATAAAAAAAATGGAAGTCGAATTTGTAATAAAAATTTCAAATTCATTTGAACATATATTTCAAAGCGCTTTTATATTTAACAAAAATGTATTTATAAATACAGCGAATATTAAATAGGTAATTAAAAGGCGTTTGGCGCAAAAAAAGTTTTTTGTGCAAGACAGTCTTGCACAATTTTTTTTTATTAATAATTGAATTTATTAATGAAAAGTAAATTAAGAAATGCTAATTTTCGATTTATATTAATGTAGATGTATTATTTTCTTTATAGAGGTTTATGTGTATAATTCAAATTTTCTAATAGTAAGTTTAGATTTTAATGACTTAACTCGTAAATAATTAGCACACCATATTCGTTGTTTTAAAATTGTTGTTACCGTTTAAAGAGTAAAGTCAAATCGAAAAATTTTGCGATAATTATTAAAACATATTCGTAATTGGTCTTGATTATTATCAGTTTTAAAAACCATTAAAAAATAAAAATAATTATTGCATTAATTATTGAAATTATTTTTAATGAAAAATGAAATAGAACTAATGAATTAAAAATATTAAAATAATTATAGTTGTATTGTCAAATTGCCAATGTTATCATATATGCTATATGCTATGTGTTCTATCATATAGTCTTCTTTCTGATTTACAGTACGCTAATTGTTGTTATTATTTGTGGCAGCATGAAAATTATTAAATTAGTATATACATTTAGGAAATTGATGTGTAATTTTGAACGGAGCTTTACAACGTTTTACAACAAAATAATACATTTTTACAACAAACAATACATTTACAACAAAATAATTGAGTGCATTTAAAGTTAGTTATACTAAACTAAACGATGAAGATTAGGAGTTCGTTTTTGATTTGAGAAGTATTAAGTGAAATATAGTTTATATTGTTATGTTAATGTATTTAAGTTTGGCGTTTTTTAATCGAATTAGGTTTTTTTCTAATTGAATTGAGTTTTGTTAGATTGTTTACTTATTCACTGTTTATAAATTTAAACATATAAAGTTTTCTTCCTACCTTTCTTCTTTTGAAAATATTTTATTACTGTTGTAAAATAATTGAGAACGGCACATTTTGTTAATTTCTT